ATCTAAATTTGTCTAATTTAAAACCATTGTTACGAGTTCGCTCGTAACAATGGTTGGTTAGTTTGGTTAGTTTGAGTACCTTTGTAATGTCCCCTTTGCTTAGCCCTGACTTCCATTTATACACCTCTATCAGGTCGCCCCTCACTCTACGTCTCTCGAGGGAGTGCAAATTAAGATGCTTTAACCTGTCTCTATACTCAAGGTTCCTAATGCCCGTGATTGGTCTTGTCATTCTCCTCTGAATTCTTTCCAAGGATTCTATATCCATTCTGTAATGGTCACCAGAATTGAACTGTGTAATCCAAGTGAGGTCTCACAAGCGCAAGATATAGTTTTAGGATGACCTCGCTAGTCTTGTAACTAACTCTCCTGTTGTGTGTATTAACATCAAACTTGGCAGGTTAACTGATCAGTGCCAAGGTTCATTGGTTAAACTCTTGGTTAAATTGCATCATTATTAACTAACTGTTGTCGTGGTAATTGTTAGGGCTTTTACACGTGTTAATAATAATAGTTGTAATGATGACGACATGAGACAGAGTCCAGCGGTGACTACATTAATTTACAGTAACAGTATTATTAGTTCCTCATCTACCCTGTCATAGTCCTAACAGGCCCCAACGTAACTGGGGCCCATTAGTCTTGGTGAGTGAGTGAGAGAGTGAGAGAGGATAAATGAGCGAGTGAGTGAATGAGTGGATAAATGAATGAATGAGTGAGTGAGTGAGTGAGTGAGTGAGAGGATAAATGAGTGAGTGAGTGAGTGAGTGAGTGAGTGTGACATTATTTTTCCTTCATGTTCTTGTTAAAAGAGACAGAGGGAAAATACAAAGACAGACAGACAGACAGACAGACAGACAGACAGACCATTATAAATCAAGACTCAAGACAATTCTGTGCGGCAAGATTTTCCTACACGGAAAAAAAAACGGGGTCAGGGTGTTGACGTCAGCACTCGGTTTAGAGAGGACCAGAGAGGGTGAGGGGGTGGTGTATGGAGAGAGAGAGAGAGAGAGAGAGAGAGAGAGAGAGAGAGAGAGAGAGAGAGAGATGATGGTATCGGCTGTGTCTGTCTCTAACACACACACACACACACACTTTATAATGGTACCTTGAACTTGAAGTGTTAGTACCTTCGTCCTACAATGGTATCCCAACCTTACATTGCTACACCTCCCGATTCACCCCTCCACGTTTTTGTCAGCGCAGTCCTTCCCCCGCGCTAGTGGCGGATGGTATTGTGATTGCATACAGCCTATTACCTAAACAGCATGTGATGATTGGTGCGCGTTCCGTCGTAATGGTCGTTCCGTCGTAATGGTCGTACCGTCACAAACTGTTGTATATGTCAATTATTTGATAGGAGAATATTTGCCTGTTACTGATAATGCCATTGGATATATTGTTTGTGGTTTTTTGTTTACGAGTTGGTGTTTTTTGTTTACGAGTTGGTGTTTTTTGTTTACGAGTTGGTGTTTTTTGGTTACGAGTTGGTGTTTTTTGTTTACGAGTTGGTGTTTTTTGGTTACGAGTTGGTGTTTTTTGGTTACGAGTTGGTGTTTTTTGTTTACGAGTTGGTGTTTTTTGGTTACGAGTTGGTGTTTTTTGTTTACAAGTTGGTGTTTTTTGTTTACGAATTGATGTTTTTTGTTTACGAGTTGGTGTTTTTTGGTTACGAGTTGGTGTTTTTTGTTTACGAATTGATGTTTTTTGTTTACGAGTTGGTGTTTTTTGGTTACGAGTTGGTGTTTTTTGTTTACGAATTGATGTTTTTTGTTTACGAATTGGTGTTTTTTGGTTACGAGTTGGTGTTTTTTGTTTACGAATTGATGTTTTTTGTTTACGAATTGGTGTTTTTTGTTTACGAGTTGGTGTTTTTTGTTTACGAGTTGGTGTTTTTTGGTTACGAGTTGGTGTTTTTTGTTTACAAGTTGGTGTTTTTTGTTTACGAATTGGTGTTTTTGGTTTACGATTTCGAAATGATGTTTTGGCAATAGTGTAATCGTGAGGTTTAATGTAATGGACATTTACTATTGATACATAACACAACCTAACCACCTTACCTGATACATAACACCTGATACATGATAATCTATATAAAACACTTAAGTCTGTCTGTATCTGTCTGTCTGTATGTCTGTGTGTTTTGTTTGTGTGTCGCACGAGAATCTCGGAAGCTACTTTACCGATCTGTAGTGATGATGGATGGTGTTATATGTAGTGATGATGGATGGTGTTATATGTAGTGATGATGGATGGTGTTATATGTAGTGATGATGGATGGTGTTATGTAGTGATGATGCGTTGGTGTTATATAATTGATGATGAATGGTGTTATATGTAGTGATGATGGATGGTGTTATAAGTATTGATGATGGATAATGTTATATGTAGTGATGATGGATGATGTTATATGTAGTGATGATGGATGGTGTTATATGTAGTGCTAATGTATGATGTTATATGTAGTGATGATGAATGGTGTTATATGTAGTGATGATGGATGGTGTTATATCTAATGATGATGGATGGTGTTATGTGTCGTGATGATGGATGGTGTAATATGTAAGGATGATGGATGGTGTTATAGGTAGTGATGATGGATGTTGTTATATGTAGTGATGATGGGTGGTGTTATATATAGTGATGATGGATGGTGTTATATGTAGTGATGATGGATGGTGTTATATGTAGTGATGATGGATGATATTATATGTGGTGATGATGGATGGTGTTATATGTAGTGATGATGAATGATGTTATATCTAGTGATGATGGATGTTGTTATATGTAGTGATGATGGGTGGTGTTATATATAGTGGTGATGGATGGTGTTATATGTAGTGATGATGGATGTTGTTATATGTAGTGATGATGGGTGGTGTTATATGTAGTGATGATGGATGGTGTTATATGTAGTGATGATGGATGGTGTTATATAGTGATGATGGATGGTGATATATCTAGTGATGATGGATGGTTGTTATATGTAGTGATGATGGATGGTGTTATATGTAGTGATGGTGGATGGTATATGTAGTGATGATGGATGGTGTGTTATATGTAGTGATGATGGATGGTGTTATATGTAGTGATGATGGATGGTGTTATATGTGATGATGGTGTTCTATGCTTGGTGATGATGGATGGTGTTATATGTAGTGATGATGGATGGTGTTATATGTAGTGATGATGGATGGTATATGGCAGTGATGATGGATGGTGTTTATGTAGTGATGATGGATGAGGTGTTATATGTAGTGATGATGGATGGTGTTATATAGTGATGATGGATGGTGTTATATGTAGTGATGATGATGGTGTTATATGTAGTGATGATGGATGTATGTAGTGATGATGGATGGTGTTATATGTAGTGATGATGGATGATGTATATGTAGTGATGATGGATGGTGTTATATGTAGTGATGATGGATGGTGTTATATGTAGTGATGATGAATGATGTTATATGTAGTGATGATGGATATGTAGTGATGTATATGTAATGTGATGATGGATGATGTTATATGTAGTGATGATGGATGGTGTTATATGTAGTGATGATGGATGGTGTTATATGTAGTGATGATGGATGGTGTTGTATGTAGTGATGATGAATGATGTTATATGTAGTGATGATGGATGGTGTTGTATGTAGTGATGATGAATGATGTTATATGTAGTGATGATGGATGGTGTTATATGTAGTGATGATGGATGGTGTTATATGTAGTGATGATTAGACAATAAAACAAGTTTAATACTAAAAAAATATACTTTGCATTACCGTTGTAGTGAAAAACATGGTGGAACTTACATACACCGTTAATGAACTATTGATGGAAGAAGAAGTTTTGGGGACTGAACAGTGAGACAATGTCCTACCGTGGCCTAGAGAATGAGCCGCCCTTCGCTAGTGATATATAATATAACACAACACAAAATCAACGTAATAAGATAAAGTTAAAGACTATTAATGCATTTTTGAGGGTTGAAATCATTTAAAATCAGAAGAAAAAATGCCACAGATGAAGTTATTTTGTATATGTTAGTTTGTCAAAAATAATGGCGAGAGACTTAGCCTTTATGTAAACAAAAGATCAATGAGAAACAATAACCAGATTTTAATAGTATCTGGGTATTTACTTTTCCATGACCGTGTGTACATAGATTTGAAATATAGATAAAAATATACTTTCATTATTTCATGCATCTGTTATTCATTTTATTATTTATTGTGTCCTTTTTCATTCACGAATAATGGATAATATTTTTGTTTTTTTTTGTCTTTCCAGAGAGCGACTAACAAGACGACTAGGAAGGATTTACAACTGAAGTCTTTGAAGAAATAAAATGTCAGTCGACTTGGAAAAAAGAAAATGAAAAATCAAGTGACGTGTGTGTGTGTGTGTGTGTGTGTGTGTGTTTAAAGTAGGATCTAGTCTAATTCAGATATAGTTTTAACACACTCAAATTCCCTCCACCTCTATTCGTCAAGGCCACACCATCTCACTTAACACAATACACTTAGTTCTAAATGTGTTAGAAGCCCCTGAATGGAGGTCTGGTTAAAGCCTTATATAACCCCTTAACCTCCCACCCACACCTCGTCCCTTCCACCCCCCCCCCTCCCACACACACACACACACAAATTAGTCTCGGTGTAAAATGTCTCTGGAAGTTTCTTCGTCTCGTTTAAGTTTCTGCCTAACGATCCAAACACAAAAGACTAAAAGTTAAAAATAAAATAAAATAAAATAGCAAATCAAAATAAAATGTAAAATATAAACTTTTTGTACCAACTGTGTGAAGACTTGGCACCATGAACTTGTATTCTCTGTGGTTGGTGTTTGTGTTTGGTTAAGGAGATTCAACTGTATTTCGCTCTATGTATAAGTACGTAGTAACGTCAAATAGGCCAATACATATCATTGTTATATACATCCTGAAAACCACGCCATACCTTATCCCCTGTGTGTGTTTCAGATAAATACAAAGAACAAAATGATGAAGAAATTGATGATAGTGTTTTAATAATAGTGAAGAAAAAAATAATAACGTTGGTCCAATCTGTTCAGAAACTTAAATAAGAAAAAAGAAAAACATTAAAACAACAGCAACTTGAAGTATTTTTTAAAGACTTTAGTTTCGACAATACTAGATATGTTATTACTGGAACTGCATCGTGCGTTATGGATTAGCGAAAATGTGTGTTATAGTCGGAACTAACATTAAAATATACTGAGTGAGAAACCTGTTGATATTAATTTCATACAGTGATAATATTACCATGGCTAAGCCCTTAGACGAACGTGACGCTAACTTGTTAAATATGTGACAAAATTAAAACATCCAGTTTTCGGTGACGTATAATATGTGGGGTGATATACTAGTGTGTGGATGAAGGTGAACACGTATGATGAAAATACTGTTGTAGTGATGGAGATGAATAATGTGGTAAACCCTTTAGGGATGAAGGAGGCGATGACGGAGGTAGAGACAACGACTGATGCTCTACTGGAGGGTGAGGTGACCACTGACAGTCCCTGGGAGGTGGAGGGGACCACAGAACTACTGACGGACACCATACTGGAGATGTTGAACCTTAACGTCTCAGGATGGGAGGGCGGCATCCTTCCCCAGGAGAAGTGTGACTACCTGAGGGAGATTAACTACTCACTGCCCAACTTGACGTGTTTGGGTCATGCCCCCGAGTTCACGCCAGAGTCACAGATCCGGAGTATAGTGCTGGCCGTGATGGCGGTGTTGTCTCTGGTGGGCAACACGGCTACCATCGTCAGTATCGCCAGGGAAAAGAGACGGTCGCGGTCCACAGTGTACACTCTCATCCATCACCTCTCCGTCGCGGACCTGTTTGTCACCTTCGCCTGCCTCACCACCGAGTCAGTTTGGACCTTTACAGTACAGTGGGTGGCAGGAAACTTTCTGTGTAAGTTCATTAAGTACCTGCAGATGTTTAGCCTCTACCTGTCCACCTTCATCTTGGTTCTCATCGGTGTGGACCGGTTCACTGCGGTGCGGTACCCCATGAGACGGTCCGACACGCTGCGACACTGTAGCTATGGCATCATCTTCGTGTGGGTGCTGAGCGGCATCTTGAGCATACCTCAGGTAAGTCCTTGTTGTGTACTGTGCGGATCCACCCAGGTAAGTGCTCACTCTCTTACTTTTTATTGAGTACTTTTAAGAGTAACTTGGTCCGGTACAGTTTTGAGTAAGTTTTCGGTTCCCGTACAGTGAAGTAAACAAGAGCTAGGAGACTCATAATGTGTGATAGAAGAAATGTATGAAATTCGTCTCATATCATCCTTCTCCGCCATGAGAGACACCAACAGTTATGTGTCAAGTTACAGCATCATGAGAACTCACAACACAAGGAAGGAGAAAAAAAAACGACAATCACATTTCAAATTAGTATCCTATTAACGATCACCCGTTCTACGATAATTCGCATTAATATTAATTAGGTTTTAAGACCCTCTTGTAAGTTACGTTTGGCAAAACCCACATTAACGATAGTTATTTTGTGAAACTTGATGACGCGGACTGTAAACAACGAGAAAGCGCATCTTTCCCTTCACTTGTCAATTCTAAGATGGCAGGTAGGTGCAGAAACTGCTTTTCCATCCTCTGAGCAGCTTCACCTACCCGTGACCCTCCTCACGGCCACCAGGCGAACTACAGCTCCTGGCTCATCTAACAAACGTTATCATAATTGTTGTATCACCTTCTGATTGTTGCGATACTTTGCCATTATTAGTGAGTATGTATTTATTTAGTGTAGGATACCTTTTTTCTGTTACATAGTCTGTGTCGGACAGGTCAGGAACATATCTTAGTGAATACCAATGTTAAAAGGCCCGCGATTTTAATTAATCCGATTTACGTTAGGTGTTTCAGGATCGCAACCCTATCGTAAATCGGGGGGGGGGGGCGGCAGTGAGTAATGAGACCAAGAAAATGAGATTATATGTTTTGTTGTGTTTTGACTTAACCTCCGACACACAACTGAAGGCCACGTTAGATAGCCCAACACCTGGTTTTTTTTTGTTCTTACTTAACTGGTAATGGGTGTTTATAAAGTCTCTTGGCTGAACCCCTTTAGGTTGTGACACATTTATAACACCATTACTGCACATACCTGTACTCTCTCACCACCTGTGTTACTCCGGCCTGCAGGTGGAGTTATAATGAGTGCATATTGACCTTTAGTTCAGGTAAGGGCTGACGACATATATAATACAACCTTACCTCCACACCTGCAGCCCTCTATACCTGCACATCTCTACACCTTCACCTGTACACCTCCAACTGCACACCTCTACATCTCCACATCTGTTCACCCCCACACCTGTATACCCCGACGCCTCCACATCTACACAACAATACCCTACAGGATTAGTTGATTGATTTAGAATGATTGATTGTAAAGTTGATTAATTGATGGACTGCTTCCATGATTGACGGACTGATAGGTTGACGGGGAGTTTCAGAGCCACACAGTTAGATACTAGACCCATGTACTCCTTTCGTCTCCACCAGAGATCACTTACGGGAAGATTCATCGGCATTACACATCCCTACACAGTCCTCCAAAGTCCCCCATGGCCCTACACATTCCTGCACAGCTCTTGACATCCCTTCACAACCATCCACAGTCCTGCACATCCCTTCACACTCATTCACGGTTCATCTGTTTCAGCCCCTACGCTACACCACACTGAACTACATTGAGAATATTTGATGGCGAGAGGAGGAACGGTGGGGGTGTGCTAATCAGTAGTGGATGTGCCGTGAGGTGAGCAGGACGTGAGGGAAGGTCTGTAGGGAAAGCCTCTGAGTGAGTGAGTGAGTGGGAAGATCCTTGTACATACACTAGTGAGGATATCAACACACACACACACACACACTACCTCTGCTGCGTGATCGTCACCATAAAAAACTAACAATACATACACACACACACACACACACACACACACACACAGTAAGCGACTCACATAAACCATCACCTAAACGCATCTTAGCGTGTGAAATCAAAGCTCCCAGCGAGACACAATGGTGATATATACCAGTCATAATACACAAATCACACACTGTCTCATATACCTGTCTGGAGAATTAGTTTATCCTGGATAATTAAGGTGTTTTAGAAGACGCTAATTACGACCAAAATTACCACCTTGTTTGTCCATGTGTTTTTTTAATTCGCTGATAACGAGGTAATTAGAGTTATGTATTATTTGAATGGGTGGTTAGCGTTTGTGGGTTAGTTGAGAGAAATCACGTGAGAAGGAAGAGATGGAAGGGTTGTTAGTTGTGGTTTAAACCCAAGTTAAAACAAAATAAACAAACACAGTGAGGAAATAAAATATACCTGGAGAAGTTTTAATACCTGAATTAATTACACACATTACTTTTACAACGTTGGGGGGTGGGGGGGGGGGGTTAACGAAGCAAAATAAGATGGAATTTATAGGTGAAACAATATACACACACGTACTTTGGGTTGCGTCTGGTTATTACCATTATCTGAGGTTTACGGTACTGAAGATGTTATAGTACTTAAGGGATAAATCAACGTACTGAAGAAGTTATCGTACTCAAGGGGTTAAACATTCGTACTCTTGAGGTAAATACTCGTACTGGAGAAGTTATCGTACTCAAAGGATAAACCATCGTACTCTAGGGGCTAAATCATCATACTGTAGGGGTTAAATCATTGTACTGAAGAAGTTATCGTACTCAAGGCGGTAAACCATCGTACTCTAGGGGTTAAATCATCGTACTTTCGGGGTTAAATCATCGTACTTTCGGGGTTAAATAATCGTACTCTAGAGGTTAACCATTCTACTGAAAAAGTTATCTTACTAGGGGTTAAATCATTGTACTGAAGAACCTATCGTACTCCAGGGGGTAAACCATCGTACTTCCCAAACAAAACTACTTGGGGCATATTTTATGTTCAGTATTAGAAAATAGTTCATGAGTTTAGTGTTATTTATACCAACTTTTAATTAACTTTTAGATTAATTTTTTAATCAACTGAGTTAAAGTATTTTCTCGACGGTGAAATTAATTTTTGTACAACTGAATCTCTAAAACTTTGTGTGTGTGTGTGTGTGTGTGTGTGTGTGTGTGTGTGTGTGTGTGTGTGTGTGTGTGTGTGTGTGTGTGTGTGTGTGTGTGTGTGTGTGCAACCTCTGAAACCTCTTTTGGTCGCTGCATGGAATATCAGGACCCTTCTGGATACTGGCACAAATGAGAGTCCTGAAAGAAGAACTGCCCTTGTGGCAAAACATTTGTCTAGGTATAACATCGACATAGCAGCCTGTTGGGATAAACGAGCGCTTCATGACGCTCGGACTCTCACTGAATCACTCGCATCATGCCTTCTATATCAGTGCATACACCCCAACACTGGACGCAGAGGATACCATCAAGGAGGCCTTTTACGCCGACCTCAACAGAGTGCTAACCTCCATCCCCAGAGAAGATAAGGTTGTGCTCCTTGGTAACTTCATTGCCAGAGTTGGCAGAGATGCTGACATATGACAGGGAACCATAGGGGGAAATGAAGTATGCAAGTGTAATCCCAACGGCCTACTCCACCTCAGCAAGTGTGCTGGATACAACCTCACTATCACCAATACCTTGTTTAGGCAGGCCGACAAGTTCAAGGGTTCGTGGCAACACCTGCGATCCAAACACTGGCATCTCATTGACTATTATTGTCAGAGAAAGATATCGTTGAGATGTCCTCATCACCCGAGCGATGTGTGGCTCAGATCACTGCGACACTGATCATCGGCTCGTCAGAGCCAAGCTCTCACTGATCGTCGCCCCAAAGAAGCGAAAGCAGCAAGCCTCTAGAAGAGGTTTTAATACTAAGCGTCTATAGGATCCAGCAGTAGCACATGCCTTCAGAGAGCAGCTACCCACACCACTACCCACACCTCTACCACTACCACATACCCACACCACTACCACTCCCCACACCACACCACACCACTCCCCACACCACTACCACTACCCACACCACTACCACTACCCACACCACTGGTAAGCAGAGGTCCTCCTGCTTTATACACCTCGGCTGGGACTCCATCAGGGCCTGCAGCTTCGTTATTTTCCATCTGTTAGATGGCAATAGCTACCTCATCCCGGGACGGAGGCTAGATGTGGTGGGTCAGCTCTGAATGCTGAGGGATCTGCTGGGTAATCAGGACATCCACATCAGTGTTTCAGTTGAGCAGTGCTCTTTCCAGCGTTGATAGAGGCCTTCATCGTCTTTAATTATGGAGTTAAAGTCAGATGAGCTGAGGGGGGTTGCACGACGAGTGATTGGCCCATAAAATGTTTTAGTGGAATTGAACAATTCGAGCATCTTGTGCTGATCTGCAATTTTTTTTTGTTTCACATGCTTTATTTTTAAACCAGACGCTCTTTTGAAAGGGAAGTTCCTGCTGGACCGCAGCTTTTTTCTTGTGAGAAGGTATCGGCTTTGGTCTGAGACTGAGGGTTGTTCTGCCAGTCAGTTAAAGCAGCATGTTTATCATCGATGAGTACATTGATTGCCGGGTCATTTTCATCAAATCAGTCCTGGTGTATTCCTTCGATCTGGCTGAGGGTCTCTGCAGGTTTTTGTCATGACCGTGTCGAGAATATCCCACTCGGCACTGGGATTTGCGTTGTTTGCTTTTAGGTTGTTTATCAGCCCATGTTCGAGCTACTCTCTGAAAGCATGTGGTAACACTGGATCCTCGAGACGCTTAGTGCTAAAACCTCTTCTGGAGCCTTCGCCGTTTTGGGGCAACGTGAAGTGAGAGCTTGGTTCTGACGAGCCGATGATCAGTGTTGCAGTGGTCCGAGCCACGCATTGCTCGGGTGATGAGGACATCACGGCTATCTCTTTCTCTGACAATACTGTAGCCAATGAGATGCCAGTGTTTGGATCGTGGGTGTTGCCACAAACCCTTGAACTTGTCGGGCTGCCTAAACAAGGTATTGGTGATAGTGAGGTTGTGTGTAGCACATTTGCTAAGGAGGAGTAGGCCGTTTGGATTACGCTTGTCTAGTTCATTTCTCCCTATGGTTCCCTGCCAAATGTCAGTATCTCTGCCAACTCTGGCATTGAAGTCACCAAGGAGCACAACCTTGTCTTCTCTTTCGAGGTCAGCACAAAAGGCCTCCTTGATGTCATCCTCTGCTTCCAGTGTTGGGGCGTATGCACTGATGAAAAAGGCATGACGTGAGTGATTCAGTTGGACAGAGAGGTATCATGAAGCTCTCTTTGATCCCAATAGGCATTTCAGTTCGCCTATGTAGGATGCGCTGGTGGATGGCAAAGCCAGCTCCATAAAAGCGGTTTCTCTCTGCAAGAGGTTTTTACCCTTCCAGAAGAAGGTATAACCAGACCTGCGTTCTGTGAGGTGACCCTTGTCTGGGAACCGGGACTCACCAATGGCTGCTATGTCGATGTAATACCTAGTCACCTATTTTGCCTCCAGGGCAGTTCATCTTTCAGCACACTCATATGTGTCAGTATCCAGAAGGGTCCTGATATTCCATGCAGCGAACCATAAGAGGTTGTGTAGTTTGTTTTTATTTGAATCTGTGATTTTGATTGTGTTTTCGACCGCAAAAGGATGACCTTACTGGGGGCGGTTGCCCAGTCAGTTTTTTTTTTTTTTTTTTTAGGCAGGCTCTGTTTGGGGCACCTTTTCTAGCCCCCTACCCATGTGGGGTGAGCAGAGTGGCTCCTCGAAAGGGCTGCTCAATCGCACAGACAGGACCGGATTGCACTGCTGCTTAGATCCCAGTGCATAAACGACCATGTTATCTGTGCCGACCATGTGCACAGTTGTGACTAGAGACTCCCGGCAGTCATATCTGCCTGTCCCGGTCGCCACTCGCCCGTCGCCATAGGACTTTTGAGGTGTAGGGGTTTTGATGATGATGAAAGGTATGATGAGCTGGATGATGGCTGCGTGTGAGTTGATTGATGTGGTGAGGCAGGAGCACAGGCTGCAACCACACATCTTGGCTTTCCCTTTTCCTGATCCATAGGTGCAAGTTTTGCAACGACTGTGAAGAGGGAGAGTTGCAATGGACTGCTAATAGCCCAGTTTGATGGGTTTCGCCTTCGTAGCCTGTCCATCATGCATTGCCTTTGTCTGCCGGGGTAGTTATTGGGTTCCCATGGTGGTCACCTCTTCCGCCTATACCGCCGTTGGGGTCTTGTTGGAGCTCTGTAAGCATGTCTGCCTGATGCGGGGTTCCTCCACAGACTTTTCGTTCAGGGTTTACTCCCATAGCCTTACATCTTCCAAGGTTAATCATCAAGGCAGCGGGGCAATGGTTGGTAGGCGCCAGAACGTGTCCACATTACAGTGGGCCTATGTGCCGTCCCTCTGGGGCCCACTGGTACTCCAAGATTCATTGCTGGTCTAGCCCGGGCCCACGAGGCACCCAGTTACCGTGTGTTGCCACGAGGAGGCACAGAAGGAGTCTTTGTGATGAAAAGGCTGTGTACTGGCAGGGGAAGACTTATGCAAGTTGTTTCCTTGTTCACCACCAGGGCTAGCCAGCGGCGGCAGCTGAAAGCGAGAGGGAGCAAGCAGTGCTTGGAACTT